CTTGAGAGCTCTGCTCTCAAAATAATGCACAAAAATAGAAGCAGGGCCACAAGCTTAGCTATTCCTAATGTGCACAAAAGGATGGGAGAGTGCCAGGAGCCAGCCTGCCCTGCCTTCAGCCTGGCTTGTTCTCTCCTACCTCCCCTGAATGGCTTTTCAGTGCTGTGAAAAGCAGAGACATACCCCCAAAAGAGCAAAGTGTGTTTGTTATTGACCCTCGCCTGGAAAGTGTATGAAGAGGGATCAGCTCTGTTTGTTTGTACCCGGTAATGATGTCAGGAAAAGCTTTTTTTTTTTTTTTTTTTTTTTTTTCCCAAGTCTGGTTTTATCCCCTTTGTTGGAAGTGCCTTTGGTGAGTCTCACACCCTGGTGCTGTTAGCAAAACAATTAGGTTAACAGTGCCTTGGCTCCAACTGTCTGTCAAAGGCTGAATTGCAATGCAAATTAACTCGGCTTTAGCTCTTCAAAGCCAGCTGGGTTCAGGAAAGGTCCCCAGAAACCCCCGTGAGAATGGAGGTTTAGGGCTGGGGAGGGTGGGCTCGGTGGGATTTTACATCCAGGACCTAATGTGTTTGGCAGGAGGGATGCAGTACGTTGTACAAACACGTTATACAAATGCAGTTAAGTCATATAAATCCTTTCAGTACTTGAAAGGGACTTAGAAGAAAGATGGGGACAGACTTTTTAGTCGGCTTTGGAATGACAGGACTAGGGGTGATGGTTTTAAACTAAAAGAGGGGACATTCGGGCTATATAGGAAGGAGAAATTCTTGTCTGTGGGGCCCTGGCACAGGTTGCCCAGAGAAGCTGTGGTTGCCTCATCCCTTGGAAGTGTCCAAGGCCACCTTGTACGGGGCCAGAGCAACCTGGTCTAGTGGAAGATGTCCCTGCCCCGGCACGGGGCGGGTTGGAACGAGATGAGCTTGTAAAATCCCTTCCAGACCAAAGGATTCTAGTATTCTATGACTCAAACAGATTTTTTTCCTTCTCAGGGATTAATAGTGTCCCTTGTACATTTTGGAACAGGTTTCTGGCCCACGCTGACATTTGAGCAATACAGCCAGAGCAGTGCAGGCTGTGGGTATAACCTCCTTTCCAAGCGTCCCCCCAAGCCATGCCCATACTTATCAGCTTCATTATGCTTATTTCTGTATTTTCCATATGGGCACATACATATGGTCTATTTAAACAAGCTTGCAGGGTTAATTAGCAAGCAGTTCTTTATCACTTATTTAATATTTAGCACTTCTGGGGTAATTTTCACTTGCAGAGATCACAAAACCAGGGAAAGCACTGATGGCCCAGGAGCACCAATGGGCAAACAGAGGTGCCAAAACCCAGGTCCCTACTCACAGGGAAAGGGATGTGCCCAAGATCACCCCGGAGAACCTATGGCAGGGCCAAAAAATTGTATTACCTGCTGGACCCCGTTCTTGTTCTCTATCTCTTCTCAGTATACACCATGTTATGCATTTTGTCACTTCCTTCATGACAAGAAAGTCATTGTAGCCCTCAGTGGTGAGGCAAGAGGAACCGCAAGGGGGAAAAAAAAAAAAAAAAGGCAAATTTTGATCTTTTTATAAAAGCCTGGGAAGTTTTAAAAAAATTAAGAAGCATAATGCATGGATTAATGGACATGTCCAGTGTGTCTTTCACCAGTGAACACGGGAATGAGGTCTTTTCCCCCACCTCCCCTCTCAATTCACCATATGCATCACAGGGAAAAGGGGTTGAGGTTCTCTGAGGAAGTGAGGAAATCAGCCTTGGTGTACATGAGGTCACTCCGGAGGCTCCTGAACAAGATGTTGAACTAAAAGCATTACCCAAATTCCATTTTTCAGGATGCAGAAGTGACCTTTTTTTTTTTTTTTTTTTTTTTGCACGTACAGCAGACCCAGACACTGATGCCGTTCTGATTTGGTCCCTGCTGTCACCCCACAGCCTGAGGGCTCTGCCCTGGGCTCCCCACAGCTCATTCCTGCTCTTACTCCGCCTTGGCTGCAGCATCAGCTACTGCAGAATTCAAGGGGTTGCCTAATGAGCATCTTTTACTTTCGCCTTTAATTATTTGGAGGTGCAGTGAGGAGTCCATCCCCTTCCTCAGACTCCAGCTGCATAACAAGCCTTCCTAAATTGTTCTTTCTGATACGAAAAAATAATGTTCTTCCCCTCATCAATTTTTTCCCTACTATTTATCAAGATTTTGAGCAGATCTGTGCCTGGGTGGGTTTAGTCTCATGAAGATTTGACAGGGCTGCCTTCAAAACTAGCCCCTTTCTAGCAAATTTAGACCCAGATTCTGCAAATACCAGGCTTTTTTGGAGCATCCCTGACCAACTCACGTGAATATCTGCACAACTGAGCACTAAAATTATCCCTGCCCTCCTTCCTACACTAAAGGCAGGGGTCCAGGACAGGCACCCCCGGGGATGCCCTGCCTGCACGGCACAGGACATCCCCTGTTTTATGTGGCTTATGGTTGGTGTGGTGCTTAGCTGGGTGCATTCGTTTCGGGTTTGGATTGGAATTGTATTTGCTTGTAGCAGCCATGATTTAAGAGCCTTGGCTCTTCCTTCCGACGCGATAACTGACTTAGAGAGTGACCTTAAGGCAACTTACCCGCCCGCAGCTATTCTGTGAAAAAGGAGCTACTCCTCCGTGGGAGTGCGTGCGGGATGGGGACCCCTGGGGAGTTCTCCTGCCCTGCCAAGCCTGGCGCTAGGAAGTCTGGCCGGACTTCCCAGCTCGGCCACAGAGCGCCGCGGGGCTGGCCCAAGAGCGCAGCCTCTTGGTGGCTCAGTTTCCCAGTCCTCTGCAGGTCCAGAATTGGAATGGGGGATCTGTGGAGCACGCAGGGTGCCAGGGATCGTTACCACTAGTAACTGTATCAGAGTAACTAGTTACCACTAGTAACTCTGTATCAAAGCGATGCGTGCTCATCAGTTCTGCCTCGCGTTCGGTGAAAATCGGGGTGTAACGAGCCCCCCTCCCCGGGATATTTTCCCGTCCTTTGGTGACAGGTGCTGCGAAAGCGCAAATTACTATTATCGTTATTATTATTATTATTATTACTTTTAGTGCCATGCCTTTCTTCGAAACGCAGAACCATATCAATATTTTTAATATGTTTTCTTTTTTTTTTTTTTTTTACGGTTGATTTAGGTTAATATTTCAATACTTAAAGACCGAGCACCGGCACCCTCCCCTGCCCCGGGGGCTCCCCACCGGGTGCGGGGTTGGGGTGGTGGGGGGAACACACCCCCCAACATCTCTGCACCCCCATCCACGGGCAGGGATGAAGCTGGCCGGGGGGAGTAGGTATCGGGGGGAGGGGGGGGTAGGTACCGGGGAGGATGAGGCGGGGTGTGTGTGTGTGGGGTCACGGACCCACAACCTCCCCGCAACCCGAAGCCGCCTCTTGCGCAAAAGGGCGGTTGGAGATAAATATAATATATAGATATATTTATTTATTTTTTTTTTCTCCCCGGAGCGACACGGTGTCTAGACGCCCACGTGATCGGGGCCGGGGCCGGGCCGGGCCGGGACGCTGCACCTGCAAGCCGCCGCCGGGGCGGGGGGACTCAGAGGGCAGGCACCGCGCTGGGCTCCGCTCCATACGCGCCCGCAGCACGGCACACACCGGTGCGGGCGGCGAGAGAGGGAGGAGGAGGCTGCGGAGAGAGGGGAGGGGGGAAAGGAGAGGGAAGAGAGGGGAAAGAGAGGGGGAGGTGGGAGAAAAAAAAAAAAAAAGCCAAGCCGAGAAAGGAGGGGGAGGTGGAGGAGGAGGAGAAAGGAGGAGGAGGAGGAGGAGGGGAAGGCAGGAAGGAGGAGAGAGGAGGGGAAAAAAAGGCACCGCGGCAGAGGCGCCGGCAGCGCGGAGAAGGGTCGGCGGCCGGCGGGCACCCCCGCACCCATGTAAGCACTGCCGGGAGCGGCGGGCCTGGCTCGGCCTGGCGCGGCTGCTGGGCAAGGCAGGCAGGAAGAAGAGGGACGCAGCCCCACTTTTCGCCTTCTTCTTCTTCTTCTCCTCTCTTTTTTTTTTTTTTTTTTTTTTTTTTTATTTCCTTTCTTTCTTTTCGTAGCAGCCGGATCAAGACTCCGTGTGGATTAAAACCTTTGGGAAGAAGGAGGAAAAAAAAAAAAACCCACACAAAACCAACCAAACCAAAAAAAAAATACAAAAAAAACAACCCTGAAACCCCGCATCAGGACGACCTGGGCTTTAAAAAAGGGATACAACACTCTGGATGCGCTCGTCCGCCTCTTTTGTGACAGATGCTTAAACCGACGTCCAGACCTTAGGGTTGGTTTTTAAAATTTATTATTTTTTTTTTAAATTTTTTTTTTTAATGTGTATATATATATATAAATAAGACGCCGGTTTGGCTCGCGTTTTTCATTTTCGCCTCCCGGTTCTGCCGTGCGCCGCATCCCTGCCCCCGCGCCGCTTCCCCGGCGTGGCGGGTTGATGGGCGCCGCGGCCCCCGGGCGCCCGAGGCTCCCCCGCGTCTCGGGCCGCGCTCCGCACCCGCGCAGGGCGGCGCGGCGCCGGCAGCCCCCGCCCGCCTCCCCCCGCGCCGAGCGCCGCGGGCTCTAGACAGGGATTTTTTTTTTTTTTAATTATGTATTTTTCTTCGCTTTTTGGGCAAAGCCGGAGCGAGCGGCGGCTCTATCCTCCCCTCCCCCTCCCCCGCCGCCACCTCCTCCCTTTATTTTTTCTCTTTTTCCTTCCTCCCCATCCTTTGATTTTTTTTTTTTTTTCCTTGGGGTGCGACCTTTTTAATTTTAATTTTCTCTGCAGCGGGCGGAGGCGCGGCCGGCGCATCCCCGCGGGAGGCGGCGGGACCTACGGCCCCAGCGCGGAGACTGGCGCATGCCACGACCCGCCTCGGCCCGCTGCCCCCGCCGCTCCGCCGCCGCCGCACCCCGGCTGCCGGCCCCTTCATGCTCGGCGGACGACATGCCCGTTTTGTAGCCAGGGGCCCCTCCTCTCGTCCCGCATGTTCAGGACCAAACGCTCGGTGCTCGTCCGGCGGCTCTGGCGGAGCCGCGCGCCCGGCGGCGAGGAGGAGGAGGAGGCGGCGGCGGGCGAGCCCGGCGCGGCGAGCGGCGGAGAGCCGAGCCCAGGCGCACCTGGGCGGGGGTCGCGGGTGCTGCCCGGGCAAGGCGGCCCGCGGCGGGCGGGCGGCGGCGGGCGCGGAGGCGGAACTGAAGGCGCTGACCCACGCCGTGCTGAAGCGGCTGAAGGAGCGGCAGCTGGAGGGGCTGCTGCACGCCGTGGAGTCCCGCGGCGGGGCGCGGACCCCCTGCCTGCTGCTGCCCGCCAAGGCCGACTCGCGGCTGGGGCAGCACTGGTACCCGCTGCCGGTGCTGCTCTGCAAGGTGTTCCGCTGGCCCGACCTCCGCCACTGCTCAGAAGTGAAGCGGTTATGTTGCTGTGAATCCTACGGCAAGGCTCACCCCGAGCTCGTCTGCTGCAACCCGCACCACCTCAGCCGGCTCTGCGAGCTAGGTATGGGCGGCGGGGAGGGATGGCTGGGGGGGGGTACGGGGTCTTTGGGGTGTTCTGGGGATGCCAGGGGGGAAGATGGAGGGGCTGCAGCGGTGCCAGGGGATGGAGGAGTTAAGAGGGGTGTAAGGGATAGAGAGTATGCAGGAATATAGGGGGTGCAAGGGATGGAGGGGATAAGGGTGCAGGGGATGGAGAGAATGCAGGGGTGCAGGGGCTAGAGGTGTGCAGGTGATGGAGGGGTTGCGGGAATGTAGGGGATACAGGGGTGCAGGAAATGCAGGGATATAGGGGACACAGGGCTGCAAGGGGATGGAGGTGATGCAGGGATATAAGAGTGCAGGGCTTGGAGGGGATGCAGGGATATAGGCGTACAGGGGTTCAGGGGAGGGAGGGAATGGAGGGATACATGGGGTGCAGGGGATGCAGGGATACAGGGTACGGAGGGGGATACAGGGGTGCAGAGGCTGGAGGTGTGCAGGAGATGGAGGGGGTGCAGAGGGTGCATGTGTGAAGGGGACACAGGGACGCATGGATGCAGCCCCACTCACCTCCCCCAGCCCACTAAACAATTTTTTTTTCCCTCCCGGAAAAAAAAAAAACAAAAAACAACCAAAACCCCCAAAACATCCCACAACAAACAACAAAGCCCGTCGCGCACGCACAAAAAACTTTTCCGTTGCCGTGGTTTATGTGTTGTGTGTGTGTTTTTCCCCTGTATTTAGGGGAGGGTGACCCCCATCCCCCAGCGGCGCCCCCCTCCCCTCCCGGGGGCCCCGGCGCTGCCTCCCCGCCGTCCCCGCGCGGTGCCGGGGGATTAGGGGCCGGGCGGCCCCGGCGCTGCCGCGGCTCCACCGAGCCAAGGAGGCCCCGATCAGACAGCCCGAGCGGCAGATAGCAGGGAGACTGGCGCCAGACGGACCCTTTTGTTTATCTGACAGCTAAATATCAAGGCAATCACCGCCTCGCTGCCCTGCCTCCAACCCCCAGAGCTAAGACAAACAGTTTTGCTAAAAGAATGCCACTGTTATCATAAGTTCCTATCTTTTTTCCTTTTTTTTTTTTTTTTCTTTCTCATGGCTCTGCCTTTATTTTCTCTGTGCTTTTCTAATTCCAGAGTCTCCCCCTCCACCCTACTCCAGATACCCAATGGATTTTCTCAAACCAACTGGTAAGTGGACTTTTTTCAATGCAGATAAAAAAGAGATAAAAAAAGGGAAAACAGACCCTTTCTCAGGGAAAACAGTGTCCTGCCTTTGTCATGCATTTCGTTTTTGGCTGCTTTAGTGCTTCTGTGCCTCTTGCTACCCCTGGAAGAATTAACATATAATTTATCTAAACCACCCTGTGCACAAAGTAGGATTTTAAAACTCTGGCAGGAAACTCCAAGAGGGATTGCAGTGCAGCACAGGCCTGTGCTGCTTGAGTCAGCCAGGAAAACTGTGGGCTCCAGTTGGAAATGGCAATGCTCCCACATCCCTGGGTGAATTTTTAGGGATTTAGGTTGGGATCCAGCACAGCATCTCTCTGATGCCTGGGAATCTCAATGAACCTTGACAGACTTGTTAGAAATCTTTCTGAGTTTTGTAGAAGCCTAATCCTGCCTCATCAGGCTTAAAAAAAAACCCAAAAAAACCCCAACAAAACAAACAACAAAAAACAGGAAAAGAGGTTGAAAAGTTTTTTGGGCTTTTTTTGAGTTTTTGTTTGGGTTTGTTTGTTTGTTTGTTTTGTTGTTTTTATTTTTCTTCCTTTTTTCTTTCTTTTTTTTTTTTTTTTTTTAATTTTTAGCACCACTCTGCATGCCTGTTGCTTGTAATTGAATGTCAGGGTGCCAGGGGAGAAGCCCATTTGAGGCTGGCACCAGCTCTTTTGCGGTTGTCTGCATAAACTCTTGGTTGGCAGCGAGCTCGCCGGGTGTGAGATAAATCAGGCTGGAAGAAGGAGGAGAGGTGGGGAGAATCGGAAACGGGGAGGGGGGGGAGCTCGGGAGGAGCAGCTCCTGGCTCCCTGAGGATTAGTGGATCTGGAGTGCTGGCTGGAGCACGGTGGTCTCTGTGGTCATGGCAGACAGGAGTGGCACGGCGGTGCAGGGAGGCAAAAGTAGAGGTATTTCTGAAGACCAATATCAGGTTGTTTGATGGGGGTTTTTTTGGGGGCCAGAGGAACGGCTTTTGTAAAATTACCTCTCTTCAGTTTCTTTGTGACTAAAAGAAACCTCAGCCTTGAAGCTGGTGTGGTACCGTTGTGGGGTCCCATCCTGCCCACTGCTCCCTTGGAGGCTGCACTGTTGTTTTTCTCCCTCTGCAAACTCTTTAAGAACACTGAGAAGTGTTCTTAAGTATTACCCAAGTAAGTTACTGCGTTAGTTGTTGTAAGTTAAGTGTTAGTTAAGTGTTACTGTTCCTCCTGGAAATAAGCAGAGCTGTTTAACAAACAGTCCGATTACAAGGCATGAGCTGTTTCGCCTTGGTGTGAAAAACCAGGAGATAAAAGCTTATGAATGAAAGAGGGATATTAGGAATAGGTTCAGCACTCCGGGCTTGCGCCAGGATGCAGTAGGGTTGTTCTGTAAGAGACTCTGAGGGTCTGCTGGGTCACAAAGTTTTGTAGGAGTTGGCATCATTTTGACTGCATCCCTGCAGTGCTCCCCCAGAAGTTCCTTATTTCTACCTTCATGGCCCTTCTTTCCACCCACTGATGATGCTGGCATGGGGTGCAAAGGGGTTTGGAGTTGCAGTGGTTAAAGGGTTAAAGCTTGGTTTTGGTTTCCTGTGAAGATGTTAGGTTAAATCTATTAGCAGCATTTAAACATCCAATCTGCCTCTGCCAGGATCTTATTTTCAGTTAGCCGAATGATATATTTATTCATTAGCAAGTGTTGACATAAGGTAGCAAAATGTGTGTAAACAGAAAAGCCGCAGAACATGAATGTGCCATTTCGAAAGGAAAAGTTATTCCTATCGGCCAATAGGAAGTGATTAACGCTGCCCATCGGAAGCACAGAAACAACTGGGTTACTCACCAAAAAGTCCTTTTTTTTTCCCTTTTGAAAGAAAAATCCCTTTGGCAGCTGAGGTCTGACTAACGGGGCTGTGACAGGCACAAGCGGAGCCTGGAAGTCTGTTGTGGCAGGTGGGTTTTGCAAGCTCAGGGTTTCTCGGTGTTTCCTCTGCGGAGGGTTTCCCTTCCCAGCATTGGTGCCATCCCCTGCGACAGTTTCCCAGCTGCTGTTGAGGATTGCTTGTCATGGGCCAGTTAGATGGGATGGGGAACAGTAGGTGACCACGGGAAGGCATGAAGATTTTTGCCCGGCTGATGCACATCATCCGTCTTCTCCCCTGGGATCTTGTGTGGGAACAGCCCCTGCATTTAAGACTCTGGCGGTGGGGCTGGGGATGCTCACTCAGCAGGAAACTTATGCATTTCCACCAAGAGTGATAAAAGTTTTTAAATGTTTGGTGCTACATCTTGTGTTTCACGTGTGCGGGCAGGCAGGTGATACCTGCACTGATGATCAGAGACTCAAAGAATAGTTTATTTTTGTGAGAGACCCTAAAAGCCGTCTGGTCCAGCCCTCCTGCAGTGATCAGGGACATCTTCAACTAGACCAGGTTGCTCACAGTCCTATCCAGCCTGACCTTGAAGGTTTCCAGAGATGGAGGATCCACCACCTTTCTGGGTAACCTGTGCCAGTGCCTCACCACCATCATCATAAACAGTTTCTTCCTTCTGTCTTGTCTAAATCTCTCCCCTTTTAGTTTAAAACCCTTATGATGGCAGGATTAAATTAGGGGTTTTTTGGGTGCAGAGGTTGAGATGGGCTGTGTTGCAGACTGGAGGAAAGCAGGGATGGACAGGGAGCTTACTGTCGTAGTTGATGGTCGAGTTACCTGTGGGAAGGCTGAAAGTTGGGCTGACTTACTTGGCCATAGAGTCCCAGAATGGTTTGGGTTGGAAGGAACCTGAAAGCTCACCTTGTTCCAGGTATGGACACCTTCCACCATCCCAGGTTGCTCCAAGCCCCATCCAACCTGGCCTTGGACTTGCCAGGGAGCGGAGAGGACTTTCATTCATCAAGGAGAGGATTTTTCCTCTCCGTTACAGAGGATATTTGCAGGGATGGATGATGCTGGCTTGCTCTGGAGGTGTGGGGCTGCTCAGCATTCCCGACGTCCCTAGAGGGGCTGCCACTTGCAGCTGTGTTGAAAGGGAGATGGGTAGTAGTGCCCTCAAATAATTCAGGTGGGTTGCTGGTTCATCCTTAGGTGAGACAAGGGCCTGCAAGTGGTTCCACTGTGCCCCTGAGTGACTGGTCATGGTGGTGCTGGAGTATGAGAGTGCAGGAGACTCGCTGAGATGTCTTTGCAGAGCCAAAAGCCCTCCTGAGGCATCAACTTTCATGGGAGTTGGAGGTTTGGCAGAGTCCAGGAGCTATTTGAGACCTTGCAAGGTTGGGCTGGTGGCCACCAGGAGTAATTGTATGTCTCTGCAATGGTTTCATACTGTGGGAAGGCAGCGTCAGGAGGAGACTGATGTGCAGCAGGCTGGGATAAACTTCTGATCCTATGACCTGTATGGTGCTGAGGATAAAATGAACCCTAGTACCCCTTACTAACAAGAGTCCTGGGCAGCTCAGAGGGTCATGGGAAGAGTGCCAGGATGAATCCAGCCATGAGAGTCCTGCCTTTGGGCTTATCCCATACCTGACTGTCGTGGTTGGTCTAGAGTTAAGGTGCACCAACTCTGCATCTTGTAAAGAGACTTCAGAGGGTAGTTCATGGATGAGGGGAACTGTCTGTTGGATGGTGGGACACAGGAAGGGAGCTGAGGAAGTCATGAAAGCACATGCACCTACTGCTAGTGTTGTGCATTTTAAGTTGGGATGGGATTCTGTCCTGCGGTCCTGTCTGATGTGCTAGCAGAGGACCTGGTCGTGTCTGATCCCTACAGCAAGACAATGTGGAAAGGGCCAATTATGTTCCTTATCCGCAGGAACTCCTCGGGGAGCTGTAGCTGGGGGCAGAGGGAGCCCAGGGCAGGGCAGGGTGGTCCAGCCTGCATTTAAGAAAACATCCGTAGTCCAAACAGGTTGAAGCCATCCCAAGGTTATGGTGGGGGGAATCTTCTGTCTAGACTAGAAAGGGTTAAAAAAAGTGGAAAACTTGTTTCTTTAAAGCACAGAAAGCAGGACAAGGCATTTAGGGAGCCAAGGCATTTAGAGATCGTATGGTATACAGTGTTTCACAAGTAAGTCTATTTCCTGTCTCCCCTATTGTTTTCGGTTTGATTAAGTATATCCTGTTAAACTGTATATTCCTGTTAGGGCTTCTACTTCACTCTGATAAAATGAGGTTATGCAGACAGGAATTTCTTATTCACTGGGATTTCAGGGATGGGATCTGGAAGAACTGCTTTATCAGTAGGGAGAAAAATCATCTCGGCTCTCCTGGTGGTGGCCCTCGCTTTGAGATACAGATGTGAGCAAAATGATGTCATTAGGGAGCCCAAATTTGGTGAAACCCAAAGCCCCTGAGGACCAGAAAGTTGCATGAACTTTACAGGTCTCAGGCTTGTCCCTGAGCTTGTAGTCCTGCATGGTAGTGACCAAAAAGCTGGAGTTTCCATGTAAGACCAGGAGACCAGTGTTGGCTTCTGACTTGTCACCTGGAGGAGCAGGCTTGGGGTGGAAAGCCTGGGCTCCAACGCCCTTGAGCTCCAACACCTCCACGCATCAGGAGAAACCTCTAATGGAGCAGACAATCTTACCCTGCCCTCTGTGTGGAGTAGGTCCAGTTGCCCACCTGTCCCGGGAGGTGACAGTAAGATCTGCCAGAGCTGGCGGTGACAAAATCTGAGCATGGGAACGCAAACTTAGCCCTTCTGCCGCAAAAAGGCGGCGATGAGACATTTCCCTTTCGGTTCCCGTTTTGTCGAGTTACAGGTGTCGACTAAATTGGGTGCATAAAGCCATGATTTAAGCATTTTTGGAAGCTCGCTTGCATCAGGACGGTGACAACCTTGATCTCCTTACCCGGTGACTGGGCCGGAGAGGTGGCAGCCAGCCTGTAATTTCTGCCGGTCTATAATCAGTGTTGGCTGGTGATGAAGCGCAGCCTTGACTGAGACAACGAGTTAGGGTGGATGCTTCTTGATGAACTACCGTCTCTGCGCGGACAATTAGTAATCGCTTCCTGCTAAGCCCTTTGGAATGTGTGTTCTGCTTGCGGCGATGCTGGGAGCCTTCAAAGAACCACCTATATATACTGATTATTCTTTTTTTCTTTTTTCTTTTTTTTTTCCTCTTCCTCTGCCCCAGCAGATTGTCCAGACTCTGTGCCTTCCTCCACTGAAACAGGGGGAACTAATTGTCTAGCCCCTGGGGGGCTTTCAGGTAAGACATCTCTTGTTGTCCTTGATCTTGGCCGCGGGTTGCATTGACTTGGGGTCCCAAGGGGAGGTTAAGGGATGCTGGGGGAGTTTGGGAATGCCTGTCACTGAGGAAGGTGTGCTCGAAGGGGAAGTTGGGTTTCACTTCAGTGGCATCTGTGCACCTCTTGTGCAGAGGATGTGTTGAAATCCCAGGCGAGCTTCTCCTTTGAATTCCAGCCATATTATGGCTCCATTCATTTTCAGACTGAGGCAGGAGGAGGTGTGTTGGGGAAGGCTAAGTGATGTTGGCTGACTGTTCATTTGGATGTGTGGATTATGGAAGTAGGTATACTTGTACTTCTGGGAAGGATTCAATGTCAAGGTGTCCTAGACTTGGTGGTGGTGGCAGTGACATCTCTTGTCCCTGGGATGAGAACTGTGCTTGGACTTTGCTCCTGGTAAGGTCACCAGCATCTTGCATCTGATGTGCAAGGGTCATAGTGCCCTGGGAGGAAAGGTGGCCCCGTTTTATGCAGAGGTTGTTGCAGACAGAGTTGGTGATCCTTATGGATCCCTTCCAACTTGAGATACTCTACGATTACCCGTTTGCCATCTCCTTCAGCCTTCAGGTGCTGTTACACAGTAGGGGGCTGGAAGACACCCCTCTTTGCTCACCCTTCTTGGGCTTTTCATAGAAATACAGAAATAGAAATTGAGAATGGTTTGGGTTGGAAAGGACCTTTTTTGAAGGTCATCTAGTCCAACTCCCAACCGCTTTTCCAAGGTGTGATGTCTCAGGCGCCACATGTCCCATTCCGGACTGGACAGCTTGGTGGCTGAGCTCTGTCTCTACCAGCATTAAAGTGTCTGAAACGGTGTACCTGCAGGTACTTGCTGATGTTTGAAGGTGCTTCCCTTTGTGGGGATGTCTCCTTGATTTATGATTTATTCATCGCCCTGAAACTGGAATTCAGAAGTAGGTCGGCGGCGGCCGCACGCGCGCGTGCATCTGCCCCTGCCTCTCTCCAGGAACTGCGTTTGGTGTGGATGTCTTTAAGTGAGCCTTGTTTGTTTTTCTTTGGGTGTAATATATACCCTGTCTGTTATTTGAGAGGGGAGCATATTGTTTGTTCAAAGGCCCTAATGAGAATTAATCAAACGAAGGGGGAGAGGGAACAGAGAAGCTTGTAGCTGGTTTTTTTGTTGTTGTTGTTGGTTTTTTTTGGTTTTTTAATTCAGAAGACTTTGGGGTTTTTTTTTTTTTTGCTATTGGAGCCTATAGCTTCAGGGAATTAAAAAAAAAAATAGAGACTGTGGAAAGAAAAGACAAGAAGCAAAACAACACAATAAATAAGGATGTTGTTAGATCTTTCTTTTTTTCCTTTTTCCTCCTGAAATACACCCATTGCAGAGGGGAGGAGAGAGTTCAGTTCCACAGGATACCACATGAAATAAGCAGAGGAAGTACTCGCTTTTAAAAGGGGGCTTTCTGTAAGGTTCAGCCTTTTGATAACATCTCGTCTGGCTGCTCTGCTCCCGAAGGGAAGGCGGGAGGTGGGGGCTTGGACTGCAGGAAATAACATGGCTCGTTCCTGGTGCCTCCTGAAGGGCCATGGAAGGAGACCTCTAGCTCCTTAATTGAGCTTCTTCCCCAAATGAAAGCACATTTCCACCTGAAAATACATTTTTTACTTACTTTATTATATTGTTATTATTTCACTGGATTTTATTTTTGTTTTATGTCTCCCTTATCAAAGGTTCCCCCCCTCCCCAAGCCTGGAAACAGAACCTTTTACGATCATTAACCGCTCTTTTTTTCCTCCCCAAATGTAATTGTAGCCATTTAGTTTAATGAGGAGCTGATAGGAGAGTTGGCTCATGAAGGGATACGGTTAGCTACCCAAGCCCTGAAACAAAGCCGAATGCCTCCACATGAAAGAGCATTTGTTTTGAATTTGCTCTGATTTACTGGCATCTCCCTTCCGCGTGCAGAAGTGCAGCGCTGAAAATTCCCAACTGGAGGGACCCAGTCAAGAAAGGAAAATAAACGCACTTTGCAGCAATCCTCCAAAGCTCACTTTCTCCTTCTTTTTTTTTTCCCTCCCCCCTCCTGCATATTTTAGTTAGCAGGAGAGTGTGTTTGAAGGGAGCTTTAATGAGTTATTGGCAGGCTACTCAGCCCGCTCTTGGGCTCGGTCTTACCTACCTTTGGGCAGATGGGGATGAGAGTGATGCCGGGTGGAGAATCCAGCATCCCTCATCCCCTTGCAGACCTGTACAGGTTGGATTTGCAGCTCTTTGATGAAAGGATGGCTTAAGAAAAGATAAACCCCGAACATTTTTGGTAGTTTGGAAACTGGACTGGGTGGCTGAGGAGAAAGACGTCATGGTGGGTGGTGGTGGGTTCCTGTAGCACTGCAGGCTTTGGCCACCAGTGACGGGCTGTGGGTGCTGCTGTAGCGGTGGAGGTCATGGTCAGTAGACCTGCTCTGATGTCCTGAAGTTGGAAGAGCAGGATATAGCAAGGAAGATGGCTCTCAGCACTGAGAATTTGGGAATTGGGACTGCCAAAGGTTCGCAGCCCCTCTGTCAGGGAAACCGTGTGGGGGGGTTGAGAGGGTGGTGGCAAGAGGAGCATTAAAGGGGCTCAAAGTAAGTGCCCCTTGCAGCTCTCCATGAGGATCCTTTGATGATGAGGAGTCTCAGATCCAGCCCCCGCCGGGGTCTGTCTCCTTCTGGAGGCTGAAGGCAGTTTTGTTGATGGATACCAGAGGCGCTGGGGGATGTGGCGGGGGGAGCGGCGCAGCCGGGGAGATGTACGGGGAGTGTTTCCCCCTTGTGATAACTGATCTGAGCTGCTCCTTTCCTCCCTCCTTCTTCTCTCTGTTCTGTTTCCTGACCCAGGAATGCAGTGTTGGTCAGTCCTTCACACTGTGCTTGGTGCCCTCTTCTCATCCCACCTCTGCTCTCTCTCCCCCAGCCATCCCGTTCTCCAGCCGATGGACCCCACGCTTTCCCTGAGGCACTGAATCTCACTTACGTATTCTTGCCTTTATTTATTTTCTTATATCATCTGTATTTTTGTCGGTGGTCAGTCTGTGGGTAGGGCAGGACTCCTCGCTCACGTTATCTCCCACTGACATGGCTGTGCTCAGGTATTGCCAGCCAGATCCTTTCTGCCCTCAGTGTGGTTAAAGGGCGAAAATATCCCATCGGAGACAAAAATAATTCCCGTAAATGGGAGACAGAGGGTGGTTTTCCTGTATTTTGAGCTGACTTGTACTCAGCAGATGTGTTTGGTTATGACTTCTTTCAAACAAGCTAAGCCACGCTTGGAGAGCCTGGAGGTGGCCGGCCCGTGGTCCAGTGGCATTGGATTGGTGGGAGTGAAATTCCTGTGTGACCCATGGAGAAGCTCTGTTCCAAGGGTAGAAGTGAGCAGATGGTGTTTGGTGGTGTTGGGGCTGGGGTTTCCACGGAGTGTGATCCCCCCAGCCCTGGACATCTCTGTCTTGACCCATGTGTGGCATGGGACTGGTGGCTCTTGGATGATGGGAGGTTGGGGTGTCCGTGGTGGGTGAGAAGGTGACTCTCCAGCAGGACAGGTGAATAGTGCTGGATCTGCTGGCAAAGCAAAGCTCTCCAAGAAGCTCAGAGCTTGTCATCAGAGAGGGGAAGCAAGATGAGCTCCACTGCTCTTTTATTTATAGAGGTTGTTCCTAAAATACCAAACCCCAGAGTTTACCCAGATTTTGGCCCAATCCTGTTCACTTACCCAGACTCTGGAACTGCCCCAGGGTTTCCAAGAGCCAGTGTACATTGAGTGATGATGCTTGGTGAGCGCTGGATCAAGGCTCTGCAGGGGTTGAGTCTGGGAGACCTGCAAGGCACTTCTGCAGCAGGCACAGACTCAGCTTCTCCCTCCCAACTCCACACTAAAAAGATGGGGAAAAGACCTCCAGAGACTGGAAAAGCATCAACATTGCTCCCTGCTGTGGGACCTTGTCTGGTTTAAGGGACCTCTTGGCTGATTGACATTTCATTCCAAAATTGCGGACAGGCCGGGAATGTTTCACTATGCCTCTGATCCCTGCTGGTATCTGCTCACCAGGGAAGAAGCACCTTGTCCAAATCCGGAGCTATTTGCTCCCCGAAGTGGCTCCCCACTGCTCTCCCCCCGCCCATGTAAACAGGATCCTGAGCTGTTCCTCTGCCAGAGTCCTGCCTGTGTTTTCCCGTTCCCCCTACTTCCACCTCCCTCTCCTACAGAGTTTATAACCTCCTGTGAAATGCCTTTATTTACAAATTGGCATCCTATTATAATCTGAAATTGAGACTTCTTCCTGTGGAACTAGGATTGTATATTTGTCCCAGGGATAAACAATTGCTTGGGAATTTTTTTTCTTTAAGTCACTTATTTTTGGTTTATTTTTGAGCTTGTGTCCTTTTAATTTTTTTTTTTTTTTTTTTTTTTTTTTAATTTGCTTTGAGCTTCACGGGACGTTGCACCCTTTCCTTCCCAGCCTCGCTGGAGACGTGACTCTCCCCTCCACCTCCCCCCACCCCCTTGCCTACCTAAAAACCACCATCCTGTCCTGGAAAGGACAAGGTTATCAGGGGTTAACGCCAGGATGACAGCACTGGAGCCTCTGGAGCAGAGCAGGCTGCCTGCCAGACTAGGAGCCTCCCGGCTCGCCTCGCACATCATCTGACCGTGGCCGACTGGGAGGAGGGAGCCGGCGCTTGGCACCAGCCCCGGGCTCTTGGCTTGGCCACCCGCTCTGGTTCCTTGAGCCCTGTGAGGGCTCTTTTTTTTTTTTCTTTTTTTTAAGGGGGTTCTCACCCTATGGGGACCCCCCTGGGACACGGCCAGGATAGTCCTTGTGCTACCGCAGGGATGCAGGGGGCATCCTCCTTGCAGCTCCAGGCGTTTCGCCGAACAAAATCCTTCCAAAGCAAATAGAATCCATTTAATAATTACTTTTAAGTGCTCTAGAGCCTCTTGAGCCTTTCCTAGATACT